GAGGCGGGTGGATCATAAGGTCAAGAGATCGAGACCATCCCGGTCAACATGGTGAAACCCCGTCTCTACTAAAAATACAAAAAACATTAGCTGGGCATGGTGGCGCGTGCCTGTAATCCCAGCTACTCAGGAGGCTGAGGCAGGAGAATTGCCTGAACCCAGGAGGCGGAGGTTGCGGTGAGCCAAGATCACGCCATTGCACTCCAGCCTGGGTAACAAGAGCGAAACTCCGTCTCAAAAAAAAAAAAAAAAAAAAAAATATATATATATATATATATAAACAATTATCTAGATGTGGTGGCAGGTACCTGTAATCCTAGCTACTCAGGAGGCTGAGGCAGGAGAATTGCTTGAACACAGGAGGCAAAGGTTGCAGTGAGCCAAGATCACACCATTGCATTCCAGCCAGGGTGACAAGAGCAAAACTCCATCTCAAAAAAAAAAAAAACAAACAAACAAACAAAAAAAAAACAGTGTTTCTGATTGTATGTCCCATAAATTCTATTTGTCTTCCCATCAGATCTACAGCTGGGTTCTCAAGCGTAGGAGCTATCAGACTGTGGAAAGACCATTGAATGAGAGTTGAAAAAAATAAAACCCTGATGAGGGCTGAATTTTCATTTTTCCGTTTTTTGTTTGTTTGCCTGGTTTTTTTTTTTGTTTTTGAGACGGAGTCTCGCTCTTGTTACCCAGGCTGGAGTGCAATGGCGCGATCTCAGCTCACCGCAACCTCCGCCTCCTGGGTTCAGGCAATTCTCCTGCCTCAGCCTCCTGAGTAGCTGGGATTACAGGCACGCACAACCACGCCCAGCTAATTTTTTTGTATTTTTAGTAGAGACGGGGTTTCACCATGTTGACCAGGATGGTCTCGATCTCTTGACCTCGTGATCCACCCGCCTCGGCCTCCCAAAGTGCTGGGATTACAGGCTTGAGCCACCGCGCCCGGCCCGCCTGTTTTTGTTTTTAACGAGATGGAGTGTGGCTATGTTGCCCAGGATGGAGTGCAGTGGCAAGTCACAGCCATCACAATGCACCACAGCCTGCAAATTTTGGTCTTCAGGAATCTTCTGAAGTAGCTGAGATTTCAGGCATGTGCCACCATATCTGGCTCTAATTTTCTAATTTTAAATTTGTTTCTCTAAATTATTATTTGTGTTTGCTGAAATTGTGTATGTGCGTGTATATATAATATATATATATACACACACACATATATATATAATTTTTGTATATGTGTGTAGTTGTATGTTACATAAAGTAGGTTGTGGGCTTTTTTCCAGTAATGTTTAGCTATAATTAAAGTTTGGGCTGAAATCTGCTAGTATTTGTTACTCCTCACCAAATCCTACCTTATCTTTTAACAAACTGTAAGCTCTTGTAAGATTTCACTTCCGGTAACCTTAAAGGCAGCAGAGTGGGGTCTCTACTCTGAAATTAAATAATCTGCAGTGAGGTATGTTGAAGACATTAGTCTCTTTCCTGGGATCCACAAAGTGCCAGTCTTTCCTCATCTGTTGAGCAAATTAAACCAGCTGGACAGTTTACTAAAGAACTCAAACATAAGCCACAAATAAGGCTTCTTATTACCCCAACAATGCTTGGATACTTACTACATTTATCAAATTGTTATGTTTATCAAATTATTATTTCTCCCAGCACCATCAGACATTTTTTTTTTTTTTTTTTGAGTACTGTCTTTTGTCAACAGAAGCAGCAGCACAAGCTGGGTTCGGTGGCTCACATCTGTAATCACAGCACTTTGGGAGGCTGAGGCAGGAGGATTCCTTGAGCTCAGGAGTTTGAGACTAGCCTGAGCAACATGGTGAAGCCCTGTCTCTTCAAAAGATCCACAAATTAGTCGGGCGTGGTGGCAGCTGCCTGTAGTCCCAGCTACTCAGAAGGCTAAGGTAGGATTGCTTGAGTCTGGGAGCCATGAGGCTGCAGTGAGCTGTGATTGTGCCACTGTACTCCAGCCTGGGTGACAGAGTGAGACCCTGTCTCTAAAAAAAAACAGAAAAAAAACCCTAAGTTGCACCCCCTTCTAAGTGCCAGGCCTTGTATGGGATACTGGTGCTTTTGCAGATGGCAAGGGAGATGATTGCTAAACAATCACCCAAATAAACCTGCATTAAAAAAAAAAAAAGAGAGAAACAGCAGCACAGAAAAAGACTGCCGCTGACTCTAGGGTAGTGCCATTTACTTTTACACTGAAGAGCTGGAGATTTCTTAATTGCCTTGAACACTGTATCAATGAAAAAAGCCTTTTATTTTATTTTAGGAGATAGGGTCTTTCTCTGTTTCCCAAGCAGTGGTGCAATAATGGCTCATTGCAGCAGTGACCTCCTGGACTCAAGCAATCCTCCCACCTCAGCCTCCCACGTAGCGGGGATCACAGGCGTGTCCCACCATATCTGGCTATGTTTTTTTGTAAAGATGGGGTCTCTCTATGTTGCCCAGGCAGGTCTTGAGCTCCTGTGTTCAAGCAATCCTCCCTCTTGAGCTTCCCAAAGTGTTAGGATTACAGATGTGAACCACTATGCCCGGCCTGAAAAAAAAACATTTTTTTTTGTTTTTGAGACGAGTTTCACTCCATTACCCAGGCTGGAGTGCAATGGTGTGATCCTGGCTCACTGCAACCTCTCCTGCCAGGTTAAAGCAATTCTCATGCCTCAGTCTACCAAGGAGCAGGGATTACAGGCACATGCCACCATACCTGGCTAATTTTTGTATTTTTAGTAGGGACAGAGTTTTACCATGTTGCCCAGGCTGGTCTTGAACTCCTGACCTCAGGTGATCCACCTGCCTTAGCCTTTCAAAGTACAGGGATTGGCCGGGCGCCGTGGCTCAAGCCTGTAATCCCAGCACTTTGGGAGGCCGAGGCGGGTGGATCACGAGGTCAAGAGATCGAGACCATCCTGGTCGACATGGTGAAACCCCGTCTCTACTAAAAATACAAAACATTAGCTGGGCATGGTGGTGCGTGCCTGTAATCCCAGCTACTGAGGAGGCTGAGGCAGGAGAATTGCCTGAACCCAGGAGGCGGAGGTTGCGGTGAGCCAAGATTGTGCCATTGCACTCCAGCCTGGGTAACAAGAGTGAAACTCCGTCTCAAAAAAAAAAAAAAAAAAAAAAAAAGTACAGGGATTACAGGTGTGAGCCATTGCACCCTTCTTGAATAAAACTTTTTTTTTTTTGAGATGGAGTCTCACTCTGTCACCAAGCTGGAGTGCAATGGGGTGATCTTGCCTCACTGCAACCTCCACCTCCTGGATTCAAGCGATTCTCCTGCCTCAGCCTCCCGAGTAGCTGGGACTACAGGAACCTGCCACCATGCCTGGCTAATTTTTGTATTTTTAGTAAAGACAGGGTTTCACCATGTTGGCCAGGATGGTCTTAAACTCCTGAAATCATGATCCACCTGCCTCAGCCTCCCAAAGTGCTGGGATTACAGGCATGAGCCACCACACCCGGTCCTGAATAAAACTTCCAATGGTACATTTTGTCTAAACCAAATCTGATATTTTCATTGATCCTGGAAAAAAGATCAAATCTGTGAATTACTTTTGCTGTGTAAAAAATATTGTGTATTGTAGAAGGGGGCTACACATGTATACTTAAGGATGCTATGCCTCAAGCCTGAATTTTCTTTTGCATTTCCAGTAGTTTTGCCATCTTTGTTACTCAGTAAAGAGCTATTTTTGTTTGTTTGAAACGGTGTTTTGCTCCTGTTGCCCAAGCTGGAGTGCAATAGCATGATCTCAGCTCACTGCAACCTCCACCCCCAGGGTTCAAGTGATTCTCCTGCCTCAGCCTCCCAAGTAGTTGGGATTACAGGCACCTGCCATCACACCCGGCTAATTTTTGTATTTTTAAAAATTTTTAGTAGAGATAGAGTTCTACCATCTTGGTGAGGCCGGTCTTGAACTCCTGACCTATGATCCACCCGCTTCAGGCTCTCAAAGTTCAGACCTGGCCAATGAGCTGTTTTTGTTAAAATTTACTTGTCCTGGGGCTGGGTGCGGTGTCTCATGCCTGTAATCCCAGCACTTTGGGAGGCCTAGGCTAGCAGATCACTTGAGCCCAGGAATTTAAGACCAGCCTGGCCAATATGGCAAACCCTGTCTCTACTAAAAACACAAAAATTAGCTGTGCATGGTGGCATGTGCCTGTAATCCCAGCTACTCAGGAGGCTGAGGCAGAAGAATCACTTGATCCAGGGAGGCAGAAGTTGCAGTGAGCCAGGATCGTGCCACTGCACTCGAGGCTGGGTGACAGAGGGAGTCTCAATCTAAAAAAAAAAAAAATTGCTTGACCTTCTACTTGTAAGTACCACACCAGGGCTATATTAACTGACTATTATGGCCAGGCACAGTGGCTCATGCCTGTAATCCCAGCTACTCGAGAGGCTGAGGCAGGAGGTGAAGGTTGCAGTGAGCCGAGATCATACCACTTCACTCCAGCCTGGGTGACAGAGCAAGACTCTCTCAATAAATAAGTAAAATAACTGACCGTTGTGCCTGGCACTTGTAGATGCTCAATATATATTTAAATTGCTCAATATACATCCGTGAATATAAACTTCTCATTTTCCACACCAATAAAAGCAGATATTAATGCCTATCAAATACCTAAATGGATTGCTGGCAGAATCAAGAAGCTTGCAAAAATCACTGGATAAACAAGAGGTACAGTTATGGCCCTGAGGCTAGGGCTGTTAGAGTCCTTCCCTCTTGGAATTTCTTGTGCTCAGGACAAGGTTCTGCCCACAAAGGCATCCAGACCCCATAGTAGAGACAGGATATCCAGACCTTCACTTTATCTCCTGCTGTTTGCTATTTTCCTTACCAACTGAATAGCGGGGAAGAGACAGGGGTAGGATTAGTTCTGGTTCCACAGAAACCCAGCCTGATTGAGGTAGATCAAACACTTTGGAGACAAAATAATTGGATTTGTGTGGAGAACAATTCTGACAATAATCCAAGTTACCCAAACCACGAGCATTTGTGCAAACGGTGGCCTTTAATACCAAGAAAGACCATGAAAAGTGACAGAACAGGAGCAAATCTTCAGAGTAGAGCCGAGCCAGCTGTTCGCAGGACGCTAAGCCCTGATGTGGTAACAGAATAATCAGTGTATTTACATTTCTGTTTGCTCTGAAAGCCCAGGTAAGGTCTGAAGCCTGAGGCCATCTCCCCTTCCTTTCCTCCTCCCTCTCTTCCTGCCGCCTCACCTCCTTTCACTTCCTCAATCCCCCTCCCTTCTCCCTACCTCTCTCTTCTTTCTTTTCTGCTTGTCCCTTTTCTCCATGTTCTCCTCGTTCTCTTTACCATCTACCTGTCTGTCCCTGCAAGCCCCTCTGCTATTTCTCCCCTGCTCACTCCCTCTGCCCTGTTCCCTCAGGTTCAGCTTCCGGGGTGGGGAGGCGAGAAAGGGTCGTCAGCCCAGGGAGCACTTGTTGGTGTTCTTCTTGTCGCAAGTTTTCAGGTCAGTACTGGGAGGCTTGTTGCCGTTTCCCTAGAGGGAGAAGGGCGCAGGGGCCATGGTGTGAATGGCTGGTTAGGGCATAAATTGTTTGAAGTGAATCTACCCTCATAAGAAATCTTAGCATTGCTCCTCTCCTCAGTTTTTACCAAGACACACACACACACACACACACACACACACACAACCCCCCGAGTTGTACCTAGTCCAGCAAAACCAACTTACTGATCTCCGGCCTCCTGACTTGAGCAAGATGTCCCGGGCCAGGGAACTAAAAGCCTAAAGTGGGGAATAGAGTCAGTTTGGAGGGGAGGAGAATCTACCTTCCCATACTTCCTCTCTTGGTAGGGGATGGGGGTGTGGAGCTCACCTCATCCACATTCATACTGGATTTAGCACTAGTTTCGAAAAATCGGATCCCATGCTCTCGAGCCAACTGTAAGAGGTGAAGTGGGAAGGAGAGAATTGAAGTAAGGGCAGCAGCCAAGTCCTCTGCAGTGCCTCCTCCTCTCAGCCCTCCCAGCCCATTTCTAGAACATTGCTCAGCCTGGCCCTCACCTTATTGGCCTGCTCCTTCTGCACCTTCCTCTTGGCCTCCATGTCACATTTATTTCCTAGCAAGAGGCGCTCAACCCCAGCAGAGGCATTCTGTGGGAAGAGACAAGTAAAAGTTAGATTCTGCCAGCCTGGCGCAGTGCCTCACGCCTGTAATTTGGGAGGCCAAGGTGGGCCGATCACGAGGTCAGGAGATCGAGACCATCCTGGACATGGTGAAATCCTGTCTCTACTAAAATACAAAAAATTAGCTGGGTGTGGTGGTGCACACCTGTAGTCCCAGCTACTCAGAAGCTGAGGCAGGGGAATCGCTTGAACCCAGGAGACGGAGGTTGCAGTGAGCTGCGATGGCGCCACTGCACTCCAGCCTGGTGACAGAGCAAGACTCCGTCTCAGAAAAAAAAAGTTAGGTCCTGCCTATCCTGATGGACCCCTTCATCCTCCAGGTTCTACCCAATTCCCCCATTTCTTTTGGAGGTCCTCACCTCCTTGATGCTTTTCATCCAGTTCTGAATATTCTCGAAAGATTTCTCATCCGTGATGTCGTATACTAGGATAATGCCCTGGGAGATGACAAAATTCACCTTGGACCATATTCCTGTTGAGGTTTCCCACTGCCCCGTAAGTGACGCTGCAAGTTCCATCCATGGGTCTTAACACTAGGCCATGCTGAGCCCGCTGCGATCCACACTGCACCCCTCCCATTTTTACCTGCCCCAACCCCTGACCCTTTGTATTCATAAAACCATATTCTGTTGCCTTCATCCTTTGCCCAGACCCACACTTCATACCATGGCTCCACGGTAGTAGGCAGTAGTTATTGTCTTGAATCGCTCTTGGCCAGCCGTGTCCCTAAAGAAGGTTTCAAGGGATGGAATAGAGGAAAGAATTCTCCAATGGAGGAATTCTTCCTCTCTCACAAGAATTTAGCTTTTGCAATATGCTGGGACAAGAGAATAAGAAAACTGTAAAGGGGAATGGGATTAAAGACAGTTGAGCTGATTTCCAGAGATGGTAGTGGCCCAAGAAAAAAGATGTCTCTTGCTTATTCACTGAATGCTTGCTATGTATCAAGCACTGTGTATGTGTGATTTTACCTAAGTCTTACTCTTTGCTTGTAAGACAAGTATTATTGTCCCTATTTCAGAAATGAGGAGACCTGCCAAGTGCAATGGCTCATGCCTGTAATCACAGTACTTTGGGAGGCCGAGATGGGTGGATCACCTGAGGTCAGGAGTTCAAGACCAGCCTGGCCATCATGGTGAAACCCCATCTTTATTAAAAAAAAGAAAAAAAAAAAAAAGACCAGCCTGGCCAACATGGTGAAACCCTGTCTCTACTAAAAATACAAAAAATTAGCCGGACGTGGTGGCAGGCACCTGTAATCCCAGCTACTTGGAAGGCTGAGGCAGGAGAATTGCTTGAACCCAAGAGGCGGAGGTTGCAGTGAACCGAGATCGCTCCACGGCACTCCAGCCTGGATTACAAGAGCAAAATTCCATCTCAAAAAAAAAAAGCCCAATGCAGTGGCTCAAGCCTGCAATACTCCAAACCGTTTGGGAGGCTGAGGCGGGTAGATACGAGGTCAGGACTTCAAGACCAGCCTGGCCAAGATGGTAAAAATACACAAAAATTAGCCGAGTGTGGTAGCGGGTGCCTGTAAGCTACTCGGGAGGCTGAAGCAAAGAATCACTTGAACCTGGGAGGCAGAGGTTGCAGTGAGGCGAGATCGTGCCATTGCACTCCAGCCTGGGAGACAGAGCGAGACTCTGTCTCAAGAAAAAAACAAAACGTCGGGCACAGTGGCTCATGCCTGTAATCCCAGCACTTTGGGAGGCCGAGGCGGGTGGATCATGAGGTCAGAAGTTCAAGACCAGCCTGGCGAACACGGTGAAACCTCGTCTCTAATAAAATACGAAAAATTAGCTGGGCATGGTGGCTTGTGCCTGTAGTCCCACCTGCTCAGGAGGCTGAGGCAGGGGAATCGCTTGAACCCAGGAGGCAGAGGTTGCAGTGAGCCAAGATCACACCACTGCACTCCAACTGGGCGACAAAGAAAGACTCCATCTCAAAAAAAAAAAAAAAAGTGGAAACAGATTTGGATAGGTTGAATAATTAATGAAGGTCAGGCAGCAGATAAGTAAAAGAACCGGATTTGAGCACCAGTCTGCTCTGATATGTCATAGCATAACGCCTCCACTAAGCTTAATACCACTTAAACACCTTCAGGGTCTGTACTTGGCTTTCTGAACTCACCATGTTTTGGAGAAAACACTAGACTTAGAGTCAAGTCTTAATTCCGCCATTGCCATTTAACTGCTCACAGTCTGTTTCCACATTATAACTGAACAGTTGTTTGTTGTCAAATTAAGAGAATGCTCTGCAGCCAGAGGAGGCAAGAGTTACAAAAAAACTGAAACTAGTTGAGAGGGCAGGAAGAGAGATGGAAGGACAGCTGAGTGCATCATGAGAAATAGATTAGAAGTGCTAGAAAGAGCAATGGGGAAAGGAAGAGAAACGAAACAAAATAGAAGGAAGAGCATGTAGGAGGTAAATGGGGAAGTATGGTAGGCTTCCCAGGGGATTCACTTACCAGACTTGCAGTTTGATCTTCTTCCCCTCTATATCCACCGTGCGGATCTTGAAGTCAATTCCTAGGGGTAGAAGGCATGCACTGAAGTTGAGACATGCATGCACACACGTAAAACTGTGTGACGGGAGGGACAGGAACCGAGCAGTGTCAGCACCAGAAATTCTGCAGGGGAGGCGCTTGAGGAGCAATCTTGTTGGAAATGCCAAGCTAGGAGAATGTTCCCAAAGCTGCATTTGTACAGCAAGAATACTATTTTTACTTATATTTTATGGATTTTGGGAGGGAGAAGGTGTGAAAATTCTGCATGGAGGCTTAAGATTCTTAAGCCACCTCTTGGGTCCATTCAGCTATGCCAGCTGACAACTCTCTGAATTCAGTCTCTCTCTCCCCACAAAAATTACTTTCACATTCCTCTTTTCTGTTTTCTTAGAGCCTTCTACTATTGGTATGCCACCCGCCCTCCTCAAAAAGAGTAAGGAAAAAAAGTAGCTGAAGCCAGTCTATGTGAATTAACTAGTAGGCCAAACTTGGCACTAGGAGAGTCTGAGGCTGAACAGGATTACCATGGAGATAATTAGGAAAGGGGGGCATTTTTCCTTTTCCTTTGTAACCAGAATTGTCATGAGAGTCTTCCTATTTCCCAAGCCAGAGGAGATGAAAAACGATGAGAAGGGAGGAGGGGAGACAGTGTTCTTCTCAGTAGAAACTTGGGCACCTCCCCCAAGCCTGCTGGGGGCCCCTGGGAGGAGGATGAGTCACCAGGCTGACTCAGAGACCCCAAAAGTCCCCTCATTTCCATGTCCGTCACCAAGCTGGCTACGTATTCATGATCACAGTCCTTAGGCCACCCTCCAGCACACCCAGCCACCTTGTTCCACTCTTCCCAAACTCCTGTTCAGCTGAGGTGCAGGAAGAGTGCGGTGGGGAAACTGGGAAGTAGATGGAGAGGTGGGGACGCAGTGGGAGAGTCTGAAGCTCAGCAGTACTGAAAGAGGTTTGAAAGAGGCTGGTGGATCTGGAGAAAAAGATGTGTCCCAGAGGGATAGGGGAAACGTGGAGAGCGGATCGGATTGAGAGAGTTCTAGGTGGTGAGGATGGGGAAGAGGGGCTCAGAGGAAAATATAGAAGGGTTCTTGTGGATTTGGAGAGACTAAGGAGATGGTACCAAGAAAATGAGGGGCTGCCAGCAGTTGAAGAGTTACCTGAAGGCCTCAAAGAGGTGAGAGGTTTGGTTAACTATACAGAGACATGCAGGGGGAGGGGTCAGAGCCAGGGTTGAGGGACTAGAATTTAGGAGCCTTACTGTAAGGGGACTGAAAAGTGGGGTCACTAGTAAACCGGGAGCCTGAGACTGAGGTCACAGGAGAGTCTGGGTCTGGGACATGGCCAGCGGGCTCACCGATGGTGGAGATGTAAGTGTTGTTGAAGTTGTCCTCTGCAAAGCGAATGATCAGACAAGTCTTGCCCACCCCCGAGTCCCCGATCAGCAGCAACTTGAAGAGGTGGTCGTAGGCTTTGGCCATGGCGGACACCGGGGGAGCCGGGGGTGGGGTGGGGAGCTCCTGGCACTGGTAGGCGGGATTGGACGGCTGGCAAACAGCGGCACGGAGCCCTGGCCAGGAAGTTTTCCTCCCTCTCCGCCCAGGCTCCGGGAAAGAGGAGAGGCGGCACTCCTCCAGGCTCCACCCCCTGCCCGCCCACCCTTTAGGGCAGGCCTAGGCGGCCAGTCCGGCCTCTGATCTCTCGGTTTTCCCTTCCCAGCTTAGGCCGGTCTGTCTCTCTCGCTATTTTCCACAGCCTTTTTGTAACTGTAGTTCCCCCCTTACGGCCTTACTCTTCCATTCTGAGGCCAGAGAGGCTAAGGGGAAGGGGAGTAGAGGTTTAACCATGACGAGCAGACGAAGAGAAATTTTAGAGGGATCAGGGGAAGGGAAAGAGTTTTGGGAATAAGGGTGAAGGTGGGAAGGGCACTAGAAACTGACAAAAATTTGGGGCTGAATTTTGGAGGTGCTATTCAACGAAGCTAGGAGTTGAATTATGATCGGTTTCTGGGGCTGAGTTAAAAGCAGTCCTAGAATTTTAATGTTAGTGGTCCAAGCCCTTAGTTCTAAGGATCCCAATTCCCTTTGAAAGAAGCGGGATGGGCAGAAGTAGGTTATTTGTTGAGTCAGTCTGCCCCCTGGTGGAAAAGGATGAAAACGTAAATTAGTTATAGAGAATCGTCCCCATCACCCCCCAACACACACAGCCCCACATCCTGGGGCTTCAGTTGAAACGATCTCCCTTATGGGGTCCCATGTGTGACTTCTCTGACCAAATAGCTTAGGAAAACAGAGATTTACACTAAAAATGTCATTCTTCACATGGATATTTTAATATGGCCTGTTAAGGTGCAGTATTGCTGAAACCTCACTCAATAGGCTGTCAATGTGTAGCCTTGGTAACCAGGAAGCTGAAGATGGACAGCATGGCTATAAAGAAACAAGTTTATCTCGGCCTTTAGAAAAAATTATTCTTGCAATATGTGTGCTAGGAGTGAAAAAATTACGAAAAAAGAAAGAAAAAATTATTTAAGACCCAGTGCGATGGCCGAGTGTGGTGGCTCACGCCTATAATCTCAGCACTTTGGGAGGCCTAGCGGGGTGGATTACAAGGTCAGGAGATTGAGACCATCCTGGTTAAAACAGTGAAACCCCATCTCTACTAAAAATACAAAAAATTAGCTGGACATGGTGACAGGTGCCTGCAGTCCCAGCTACTTGGGAGGCTGAAGCAGGAGAATCACTTGAACTTGGGAGGTGGAGGTTACAGTGAGCTGAGATCACGCCGCTGCACTCCAGCCTGGGTGACACAGTGAGACTCTGTCTCAAAAAAACAAACAAAACGGTGCTCACACTTGTAATCCAAGCACTTTGGGAGGCCAAGGTGAGAGGATCCCTTGAGCCCACAAGCTCAAGACTAGCCTGAGCAACATAGTGAGACTCTGACTCTATAAAATAAATAAATAAATAAATAAGCCAGACATGGTGGTGTGTACCTGTTCTAGACCCAGCTACTTGAGGGGCAGAAGTGGGCAGATCTCTGGAGCCCAGGAGTCCAAGGCTGTAGTGAGCCATGATTATGCCAGTGCTCTCCAGCCTCGGTGATAGCATGAGATCCTGTCTAAAAAAGAAAAAAGAACTCAAAAAAAAAAAAAAAGGAAAGAAAGAAAGAAGAAGGGCTGGTCGCGGTGGCTCACGCCTGTAATCCCAGCACTTTGGGAGGCCAAGGCGGGTGGATCACGAGGTCAGGAGATCGAGACCATCCTGGCTAACATGGTGAAACCCCGTCTTAAAAAAAAAGAAAAAAGAAAAAAAGAAAGAAACAAATTATTTTTATTTATTTATTTATTTTTTTGAGACAGAGTTTCACTCTTGTAGCCCAGGCTGGAGTGCAACAGTGTGATCTTGGCTCACCACAACCTCCATCTCTTGGGTTCAAGTGATTCTCCTGCCTCAGCCTCCCGAGTATCTATCTAGGATTACAGGCATGCGCCACTACACCCAGCTAATTTTATATTTTTAGTAGAGATGGGGTTTCTCCATCTTGATCAGGCTGTTCTCAAACTAACGAACTCAGGTGATCCACCCACCTTGGCCTCCCAAAGTGCTGGGATCACAGGCCTGACCTACCGCGCCTGGCTATTTTTATTTTTATTTTTTTTGACACAGAGTTTTGCTCTTGTCACCCAGGCTGGAGTGCAATGGCGTGATCTCTGGTCACTGCAACCTTCGCCTTCTGGGTTCAAGTGATTCTCCAGCCTCAGCCTCCCAAGTAGCTGAAATTACAGGCGCCCACCACCAATCCGGGCTAATTTTTCTTTTCTTTTTTTGCATTTTTAGTAGAGATGGAGGTTTCACCATGTTGGCCAGGCTGGTCTCGAACTCCTGACCTCAAGTGATCCACCCACCTCAGCATCCCAAATTGCTGGGATTACAGGAATGAGTCACTGTGCCCTGCCTAATTTTTTTTTTTGAGGCAGGATCTTCCCATAAAAAATTAAAATAAAGGCCAGGTGCAGTGCCTCACGCCTGTAATCCCAAGACTTTGGCAGGCCAAGGCGGGCGGATCACCAGAGGTTGGGAGTTCAAGACCAGCCTGACCAATATGGAGAACCCCATCTCTATCAAAAATGCAAAATTAGGCCAGGTGTGGTGGCTCACGCCTGTAATCCTAGCACTTCGGGAGGCAAGGTGGGCGGATCACAAGGTCAGGAGTTCAAGACCAGCCTGGCCAATATGGTGAAAGCCCGTCTCTATTCAAAATACAAAAATTAGCCGGGCATGGTGGCACATGCCCTGTAGTCCCAGCTACTTGAGAGGCTGAAGCAATAGAATTGTTTGAACCTAGGAGGTGAAGGTTGCAGTGAGCCGAGATTGCGCCACTGCACTCCAGCATGGGTGACAGAGTGAGACTCCGTATCAAAAAAAAAAAAAAAAAGAAAGAAAAGAAAGAAAGAAAAAAAACCCAAAATTTGGCGTCCTCGGGCTGCTGTGGGGGGCAGCCAGACCATGAGCGAGCTGCCAGCTGACCTGTGGGCCTTCCTGCTCAAGCACCCAGGCTGCGGCTCCAACCGGATGTCCACAAGGCGAAGTGCATCCTAATGGGTCACGAGCTGCACTGCCGCCTGCCCCAGGTCTACACCCGCGGCAAGAAGTACCAGCGGCTGGTCCGCGCCTCCCTGGCCTTGGACTATGCTGAGTTCGAGACGCACGTTGCGCCCAGCACCAAGAACCTGCACCAGTTGTTCTGCAAACTCACCGTATGGCACATCAATCAGTGCCCAGAACATGTGCTGAGGCACACGCAGGGCCAGCGGTACCAGTGAGCTCTGTGTAAATATGAAGAATATGAGATCACGTCACTGCACTCAAAGCCTGGGGACAAAATGGTACTCCGTCTCAAAACAACAAGAACAACAGCAACAACAACAACACAAAATTAGCTGGGCATGGTGGCGGGCGCCTGTAATCCCAGGTACTCAGGAGACTAAGGCACTTGAACTTGGGAGGTAGAGGTTGTGGTGAGCTGAGATTCCGCCATTGCACTCTATCCTGGGCAATAAGAACAACACTCCATCTCAGAAAAAAAAAAAAAGATGTGTACTGGTTGTAAGAAGGATCTTTTGGAACTGCACTTATCCTCATCACCTTCCATGTCCATATTTGTCCTTTCTCTTTTTTATTTTTATTTTTTTTTAGAGACAGGGTCTTGCAAGCTGCCCAGGCTGAGACGCAGTGGCACGATCCAACTACTGACTGGCACGGGAGTTTTGACCTGCTCCGTTTCCCACCTGGGCTGGTTCACCCCTCCTTAGGCAACCTGGTGGTCCCCCGCTCCTGGGAGGTCACCATATTGATGCTGAACTTAGTGCGGACACCTGATCTGCATAGCACACTACAGCCCAGAATTTCTGGGCTCAAGCGATCCTCCAGTCTCAGCCTCACGAGTAGCTGAGACTACAGGCACGCGCCACTGTGCCCAGCCTTTTTTTTTTTTTTTTTTTTTTTTGAGATGGATTCTTGCTCTTGTCACCCAGGCTAGAGTGAAGTGGCACAACTCGGCTCACCGCAACTTCCACAACCCAGGTTCGAGTGATTCTCCTGCCTCGGCCTCCTGAGTAGCTGGGATTACAGGCGGGCACCACCACGCCCAGCTAATTTTTTTTTTTTTGTATTCTTAGTAGAGACAGGGTTTCACCATGTTGGTCATGCTGGACTTGAACTCTTGACCTCGTGACCCGCCCACCTTGGCCTCCTAAAATGCTGGGATTATAGCCATCAGCCACCTCGCCCAGCCTGTCCCTTCTCAAACACAACTATTGAATCTCCTTTTGTCCATTCTCTCCCCTCATTATCTCCTTGAGTCTTCCCAGTTTCTTCCCGCTGAACAAACCATGTCTCACTTGTCCTATTTATTTATTTATTTATTTATTTATTTATTTTTGAGGCAGAGTCTCGCTCTCTTGCCCAGGCTGGAGTACAATGGCACGATCTCAGCTCACTGCAATTTCCGCTTCCCAGGTTCATGAGATTCTCCTGCCTCAGCCTCCCAAGTAGTTGGGATCACAGGCACCCACCACCACACCTGGCTAATTTTTTTTTGTATTTTTAGTAGAGACGGGGTTTCACCATGTTGGCCAGGCTAGTTTCGAACTCCTGACTTCAAATGACCTACTTACCTCGGTCTCTCAAAGTGCTGGAATTATAGGTGTGAGCCACTTCATCTAGCCTATTTTCATGTTTTTTAGAGACAGGTTCATTCTACCACCCAGACTGGAGTACAGTGGCACTATCCTAGGTCACTGCAGCCCCAGGCTCCTGGGCTCAAGACATTCTTTTTAGCCTTCCAAGTAGCTGGGACTACAGGCACAAGCTACCACGACTGGCTAATGTTTCGATTTTTTGTAAAGGTGAAGTTTCATTATGTTGCCCGGGCTGGTCTTGAACTCCTGGCCTCAAGCAATCCTCCCACCTCAGCTTCCCAAAGTGCAGGGACTACACTATGGTGTGGGCCACCATACTCAGCTTCACCAGTCCTTTAAATTACTCTTCAATTTTCGTGAATTAACCTGATAAAAATCCCTCAGTTATTTTTTCTTTTTATCTTATTTTGCCTGGATCTGGACTTTTCATCCTCAGCAATATATTATTCTTGCTCACCTTTCTGAAGTGTGTTTTTGCTGGTATATACCTACTTTCACTGGAACCTTTTTTTTTTTTTTTTATTTTTCCCTTTTGAGACAGAGTTTTATCGGAGGCTGGAGTGCAAAGGCACTGTCTCGGCTCACTGCAACCTCCTCCACCCGCGATTCAAGCGATTCTCCTGCCTCAGCCTCCCAAGTAGCTGAGATTACAGGTGCCTGCCACCACGCTGTCAGTTCTCCATATACAAGCCTGGAGCCTGAAAGTCTGAAGTCCTGCTTGCCTTGGCTGATGTCTCCCAGCACTCCCCCCATTCCTTCCTTCAGCCCCTCTCCCGCCCCCGCGTTCGCCATTGTCCCTAACTGCCCAGCAGGGGAGCTTCCCCAGACAAGCCCCTCACCCAACCCTGCCATCTTAACTGTTCTTATGATAATGTAAACACCTCTCACCGAACCCTGCCATTGTAACTGAACTTGTGGTTACGTATACCCGTCCTTGCCCCTACCCCCCTTAACTGTAACTAAACTTACTCTGCAACACCCATGCCCCCCAAGAAACTACCCAAACCTATAAAACCAACTCCTACCCCACTGCCCTTTGCTAATGCCCTTTTTGGCTTTAGCCCACCTGCACCCAGGTGAATAAACAGCCATGTTGCTCACACAAAGCCTGTTTGGAAGATCTCTTCATTCAAAGCGCGCGTTTTTCAACACACGGCCAGTTAATATTTGTATTTTTAGTAGAGACGGGGTTTCACCATATTGGCCAGGCTGGTCTCGAACCCCTGACCTCAAGTAATCCACGTGCCTTTGCCTCCCAAAGTGCTGGGATAACAGGCGTGAGCCACTGCGCCTGTTGTTAAATATGGGTAAATTAAACCAACAGAAAAAGAGTTAAAAATATAAGTAAATTCTCATGCCGGGCGCGGTGGCTCACGCCTGTAATCCCAGCACTTTGGGAGGCTGAGGCGGGTGGATCACGAGGTCAAGAGATCGAGACCATCCTGGTCAACACGGTGAAACCCCGTCTCTACTAAAACTACAAAAAATGAGCTGAGCATGGTGGTGCGTGCCTGTAGTCCCAGCTACTCAGGAGGCTGAGGCAGGAGAATTGCCTGAACCCAGGAGGCGGAGGTTGCGGTGAGCCGAGATCGCGCCACTGCACTCCAGCCTGGTGCCTGGTGACAGAGTGAGACTGTGTCTCAAAAAAAAAAGTACATAACTCTCGGATATGACTCCTTCTCCTTGGTGTTTTCCTCAATCTTTACTTTTAGGCTTCAATTATCAAGATATGGCACAAAATTTTAAAAGTGTCCATTTATCCCTTGATAGTGATCAAACGCTGACCTCAAGATAGCAAGGTAGCCCTCTCAGCATGGTGACACACCTGTGTCACAACCATCAGTTAAACAACTTCCGAAAATGACAGCTCCCTTGTCTCCCCGCCGCGGCAGAACCAAGTAGGACCTTCCAAACATGGCGGCACAAGAGCTTTGCGTCATTTCCTGTAGCGTGTCCAATATAAGGGGCAGGATTTCCGCTTTCGCTCCTTTCCGGCGGTGACGACCTACACACGAGAACATGCCTGTGAGTGCTTTGGTCCAGGTTTCGGCGGAGATCTCCCTCTTCTGTCCGCACGCTCCCCTCACGCTGATTTCGGATCGTAGAGGGTCCTCATTTGCCCTCTGCACTTCTTAGGACATTAACTCCAGGGACCGCAGCGGCCCACGGGCCACCCGCATAGACGGGAGCGGAGAGGAGATAAGATGGCGGCCCAGCTGCGCAGACACCAGGGGCGGCGAGGGGCGAGCTCTCCCCGGTGTGTGACAGTCGGGGCTGTTTTCGACCATCCCCTTTTCGCCGTTGGTTTCTAAATCTCTGCATTTCTGTCCCTCTTAGCTCGCAAAGGATCTCCTTCATCCCTCTCCAGAAGAGGAGAAGAGGAAACACAAGAAGAAACGCCTGGTGCAGAGCCCCAATTCCTACTTCATGGATGTGAAATGCCCAGGTGAGGAGACGGCTTGCTGTATTGGGGAAAGCACTGGACCTCAACACTTGGAAAAAGTTGAGTGAGCTGTGTCGTATCCGTGAAGCTGTCCAGCAGCTTCAGTTTCTTCGTCTGTGAAAAATTTTCCCTGATATTCTTAAAATTAGAATGTATGAAACTGGCAAAGTTTTGCATCTTAGAAGGAGTGATTCATTTCAGCGTGATCGCCCATCACATTTCACATCCAACCCCTATCTTTTTTTGTGTTAGGAAACAGTAATGGATGACGAGTTGGGCATAAATGCAGGAAAGATATGGGTGTAATAGAGGAAGAAAACGTTATCTGCTTTTCTTTCAGGATGCTATAAAATCACCACGGTCTTCAGCCATGCACAAACGGTAGTTTTGTGTGTTGGCTGCTCCACTGTCCTCTGCCAGCCTACAGGAGGAAAAGCAAGGCTTACAGAAGGTAAATGGTTTACTAATGTGATTTGGGGACTTTTCTTTGTTTTTGTTTTTGTTTTTTGAGTTTTTGCTTTCTAGAAATGAAAACACTTCCCAGGATCTTTCAATCTTTTTTTTTTTTTTTTTTTTTTCATTTTTTTTTTGGATTTTTTAATCTTACAATGACAAAGAACATGTATAATGTTAATTTTCAGACAAGAAGTGTTTGATTTGATGGTTTTTTTCTTTAAGTAGATACTACCAAAAACTATATACTAATCTCAAGCACTACTGTCTAAAGCTGGGGTCAGTGGGCAGTAAAAGGGCTCAAGTTGGTATGAAGTGACCCAAATGATATAAATGATTCGGTAGCTAAGACCAGAAAAATAAAGATGTAGCTTTCTGTGGGTGGATCACCCAGCATCTGCTTGTTTTGTGGGGGAGGTGGGCAGAATACCTGGGCTGTCATCAGCTAATCTCTGAACCTTTTTCCTCCAGGATGTTCTTTCAGGAGGAAGCAGCACTAAAAGCACTCTGAATCAAGATGAGTGGGAAACCATCTCAATAAACACATTTTGGATAAATCCTGTTTATTGTCTTGTTTAACTTAGTTAGGAAGTTCCTGTCTCAAGTATTCAGGGGCAACCAGAAAGAGAAGATTAGAGTCAGTTCGGGCAAGTAAGTGGCCAATTACTTTAAAAATCCATTTGGGGGCATTTTATTTTATTATTACTTTTTTTTGAGATGGAGTTTCACTCTTGTTACCCAGGCTCTGGAGTGCAATGGTGCGATCTCGGCTCACCACAACCTCCGGCTCCTGGGTTCAGGCAATTCTCCTGCCTCAACCTCCTGAGTAGCTGGGATTACAGGCACGCGCCACCATGCCCAGCTAATGTTTTGTATTTTTAGTAGAGATGGGGTTTCACCATGTTGACCAGGATGGTCTCGTTCTCCTGACCTCGTGATCCACCCGCCTCGGCCTCCGAAAGTGCTGGGATTACAGGCTTGAGCCACCGTGCCCGGCCCTGTTTTTTTTTTAAACTGGTCTTTGAACTCCTGACCTCAGGTTATCCGTGTGCCTTGGTCTCTCGAAGTTCTGAGATTATAGGCATGAGCCACCGTGCCTGGTTTTGTGTGTGTGTGTTTTGAGACAGAGTCTTGCTCTGTTGCCCAGGCTGGAGTGGCTCAATCTTGGCTCACTGCAACCTCTGCCTCTCGGGTTCAAGTGATTCTCCTGCCTTAGCCTCCCAAGTAGCTGGCTCTACAGGTGTACATGCCACCACACCCAGCTACTTTCTCTATTTTTAGTAGAGACGGTTTCATCATATTGGCCAAGCTGGTCTTGAACTCCTGACCTCAGGTGATCCACCCATTTCAGCTTCCCAAAGTGCTGGTGTTACAGGCATGAGCCATCTTGCCTGACCATGTATTTTTTTTTTTTAAGGGAAGGGGGAAGCCGTGTATGTTTTTTTTTTTTGAGACGGAGTTTTTTTAGAATTAAGAGCTGACAGTTACTTTTTACAACACAATCCAACACACCAGTTTTAAGAAACAGCTTAGGGTCCTTTATAGTTCTTAGAAGTCTTGTCTGAAAACAGTGTAGAAGTTGCTGTTTTTGTCTAGGACTAGAAATCTTCATTCCCCTACAGTTAGGAACTTGTCCAAGCAGAGGTTAGTTCCTTACACTCCACAGCCAATGTTGCAGCCGACTTTGGGCTGACGGAGGCTGTGGACTCATGAAGGGAGGGGGAGAACTTGTGTTAAGAGAACCTAGAAGTAAAGAGGGAAAGGTTGAATTAAATGTGCATATCTGAGCTTGTCAAAGATAAGGACAGGTTTTTTTACCTGGCTGTGGTGTTCCTAGAGTTGGTACATACACAACTGGAACTCTTTGTATCTTGTTTAGGAAGGCGTTGTATGCTGGAAAAAGGACAAAGGAAATGTCACAAGGCATGTCTGAGGAAGGCCTTAAAAAGGGCAAAGTCAACTCTAAGATTTAATATTGCTAAAGTAATTATTCAAAATAAGTAATAGTAATATAGTATTACAGGAAGTTTTTATCCCAATTTAATCAATTTTAGAGTTTCAGCTTTTGGCTAAAAGATGTGGGGAAATGGAATGTAGACAACTGTGATGTCCTACTTAAAAAATTTTTTTAGGCTGGGTGCGGTGGCTCATGCCTGTAATCCCAGCGCTATGGGAAGCCAAGACCAGCGGATCACCTAAGGTCAGGAGTTGGAGACCAGCCTGGCCAACATGGTGAAACCCGTCTCCACTGAAAATACAAAAATTAGCTGGGCATGGTGATGGGTGCCTGTAATCCCAGCTACTCCGGAGGCCAAAGCAGAATTGCTTGAAACCTGGGTAGCAGAGGTTGTAGTGAGCTGAGATCGCGCCACTGCACTGCAGCCTGGGCGACGGAGTGAGACTCCATCTCAAAATTTTTTTTTTTTTTTAGTCACAGAGTGTCACTGGAGTATAGAGGCAAAATCACTATTAACTGCAGACTTGAATTCGCTGGCTCAAGCAATCCTGCCTCAGCTTCCCTAGTAGCTGGGATTGTGGGTGTGTGCCACCACATCCAGGTAATTTTTAAGCTGTTTTGTGAAGATGGAGTCTCACTGTTGCCCAGTCTGGTCTTAAATTCATAGCCTCAAGCCATCCTCCCACCTGGGCCTCCCAAAGGTCTAGGATTATAGGTGTGAGCCATGGCATGCAGTCTGTTGGTATTACTTGAATTATCCCTAACAGAATTTCAGCAAAAGAGCTGTGAAGCCTCAAGATTTAGTAGTGGTTTCCACATCTGAGTGGTGTGTGTTTGCCAAATCCAGTTTGTTGCTTCTTGGTAGTAAATTGAGGAGGACTTTTTTTTTGTGAAACGGAGTTTTCCTGTCACCCAGGCTGAAGTGCAGTGGCACGATCTTGGCTCACCTCCGTCTCCCAGGTTCAAGCAGTTTTCCTCCCTCAGCCTCCCAAGTACCTGGGATTACAAGCTTGTGCCACCACACCTGGCTAATTATTTTTAGTAGAGACGAGGTTTCACCTTGTTGGCCAGGCTGGTGTTAAACTCCTGACCTCAGGTGATCTACCTGCCTCAGCTTCCCTAAATGCTGGGATTACAGGTGTGAGCCACCTCGCCCAGCAGAGGAGGACCTTTAATCCACTAGGTGACTTGGATTAGGGAGGCTTAGTTTAAACTGCTTGTTAAAATTGCATGTGATAAGTAGCTAATTTTCATCCTTAATAGTTTGTGAAATAAAATGGAGTTTCCATGTCAAAGTACATGGTACTAAAAATAAGGACTCTTTACCTAGAAAGATGAAAGCTGTTGATGACAGCACTGCAAAGAGGGTCAAGAGCAGGATCTGGTAAGAGCTACTGAACCTCTTGACGATGCCTGAATCTTCACAATGATCTATGCATTCATTGGTGGTAACAAAACAAGATAATAGTTATTTAATAACACAACCATGGGCAGATGCTGCATTTTTTAAATTAATTTTTTTGAGATGGAGTCTGGCTTTGTCACCAGGCTGGACATGATCTCGGCTCATGGCAACCTCTGACTGTCAGGTTCAAGCAGCCTCAGCTTCCCGAGTAGCTGGGATTACAGGCACACACCACTATACCCAGCTGATTTTTGTATTTTTAGTAGAGACAGGGTTTCACTATGTTGGCCAGGCTAGACTTGAACTCCTGACCTTGTGATCCACCTGCCTTGGCCTCCCAAAGTGCTGGGATTACAGGCGTGAGCCACTGTGCCTGGCCGAAACGTTTTTTTTTTAGATCATCAGTGACCTATTAAATCCAGGGTATCTTTGTGTCCTACTCAGGATGTCATTTCTTTGGAGCACTCTGATTTGCATGTAATCTTACCCTCAATAAAACTTTACGCTTTTTTTTTTTTTTTTTGGAGACAGGGTCGCAGGCTGGAGGGTTGTGGTGCAGTCATGGCTTACTGCAGCCTCGCAAGTAGCTAGGACTACAGGTGCACACTTTTTTTTTTTGAGACAGAGTTTCACTCTTGTCTCCCAGGCTAGAGTGCAATGGACGATCTCAGCTCACTGCAACATCTGCCTCCCGGGTTCAAACAATTCTCCTGCCTTAGTCTCCCAAGTAGCTGGTATTACAGGCACCTGCCACCACGCCTGGCTGATTTTTGTATTTTTAGTAGAGACAGGTTTTCACCATGTTGGCTAGGCTGGTCTCAAACTCCTGACCTCAGGTGATCCACCCGCCTCAGCCTCCCAGGTGCTAGGATTGATTACAGGCATGAGCCACTGCACCCGGCCAACCTTTTTTTTTTTTTTTTCAGATGGAGTTTCACTCTTGTCACCCAGCCTGGAGTGCAATGGCATGATCTTGGCTCACTGCAACCTCCATATGCTGGATTCAAGCTATTCTCCTGCCTCAGCCTCCTGAGTAGCTGGGATTACAGGTGCCCACCACCACACCCAGCTAATTTTTGTATTTTTAGTAGAGACGGGGCTTTCACCATATTGACCAGGCTGGTCTCAAACTCCTGGCCTCAGGTAATCCACCCACCCCAGCTTCCCAAAGTGCTGGGTTTACAGGCATGAGCCACCTCGCCTGGACTATTTTTTTTAACTCCCGAATAATTTAAATTTTTTCTTTAACTTCAATTTTTGGTAGAGATGAGGTCTCGCTAGTTGCCTAGGCTTATCTTGAACTCCTAGGCTAGAGGGTCCTCCTGCCTCAGCCTCCTAAAGTGCTGGGATTACAGGTGTGAGTCACTGCACCTGGCCTCAAAATAATGTTAAATGTGGCTGGGCACAGTGGCTTACATGTGTAATCCTAGTACTTTGGGAGGCCGAGGTGGGTGGATTGCCTGAGCTCAGGAGATTGAGACCAGCCTGGAACACACGGTGAAACCCCATCTCTACTAAAAATACAAAAAATTAGCCAGGTGTGGTCATGTGCGCCTGTAATCCCAACCACTTGGGAGGCTGAGACAGGAGAATCACTTGAACCAGGAGGCGGAGGTTGTAGTGAGCCGAGATGGCAGCATTGCACTTCAGCCTGGGCCACAGAGCAAAACTCTTATCTAAAAAAAAAAAAAAAAAAACCCACCAAAAAATGTTAAATGCATAAAGCAGGACTGATAAATCAGTAAAGTATAGTTAACCAAAACTATAACACAAACCTAATTTGTGACATGATTATACAATTAACAAAATGTTAAAGGCCTAATTTGTAATATGGTAATGTGTGTGTGTGTTTTGAGCCAGTCTCTGTTGCCAAGGCTGGGAGTGCAGTGTTGCATCTGTAGTTCACTGCAGCCTCAAACTCCTGGCCTCAAGTGATCCTCCTACCTCAGCCTCCCAAAGTGCTGGTATTACAGGTGTGAGCCCTGCTCCTTGCATGTGTGTTTTATTAATAGCAACAAAAAAGATCTAAGTGCAGGTCTGATTACTGTAATTTTGTTTTTTGGCTCTTTTTCTTTTCTCTTCTTTTCCTTTTTTTTTTTTTTTTTTTTTTTTTTTTTTTTTTTT